ATTAAAATACTGACTCAAATGGAAGAAAGCTCTTCGACTAAGTTAGTAAGTAACTGCTTACATTTAATAGTCAGGTTCTTTCTCAGTATGATTGAAATGGAGCTGTTCTGGCATGTTCTCACCAAGCAAAGATGTAACCCTGCTTGTTCGATCAGTTCCTCATATGTGAGGTGTACTGCAACATTAAAGGATTGGGTAGTGTCTTTTGTTGTCATTTCATGTCCTGGCTTGTGTATACCTTGGCACTTATATACTTAAGTGATAGCCTGATAGCGGGTGATTTTTCAGTCTACTTACAGGTATCTCTAAGTCAAAATCACAGACTTTGTCATCAGTACGATTGCAAATTATCAATTACAGTTGTGACAGATGGGTCAAAAATTGAATAGATCATAAAAAATAGTTTTTCCTTGACTTCTGGGGCTATGTCATGCATGAGGGACATAAACAGGGGTGGGAAATGGCTAGCATTCATCATTATGGCAATTGGTAAGAGCTTTCTATGTGCAGGAATGGTCTAAACCCCATTCAGAGCAGTAGGAGTCTTTCCGTTCAAATTTGGTTCTCAAGTCAATTGTGTGAGAGAGCTGAAGTCATTCAGTCCCGTATTCTGCCTAGTATCACATTCAGTTAAATATTTTCACTGTTTGATGCAAATGCTATTAAGATGCAAATGAAAGTAGGAAGAGCTATTATAATCTTGTTCCTTGTATGAAATGCCAAATTAATTTAAATTTAAAGCCAAATTGAAACGTTTGCCCACTCTATCAATAACATTGGAAAACTTCTGCAGTTCCTACCAGCACCAGTCTATCAGTCAGTGGCATTATCTTGGAGGCTGTGAGCTGTAAAATGATTGATGATTTTGTTTATTTCCACACAATTCCTGGGAAAGAGGGAATTGACTTATACTGATAGCAGTAAAAGGGAAGTAATTCCCCTGAGACTAAATACCAAGATAAGCATGAGAAAATATAATGAGTATTTACTTGGAAAAGTAGAGCGTAGAAAGGGACGACTGAGGAGAGGTGAGAAAGGATGGAAACAGAGAAAAAGGAGAAAAGGGGAAGGTAATATTTGAAGAAAATCATGACGTAGTCAAAGCAAGAGGATAGGAAAAGTGACCTTTACACTGTCAATGATCATGTGCCTCAATTGCAGTAATTTCTGATGAAGATCACAGCTCTATTTTAGTAATGAACCTTCACCATGTTCTCTCTCTTGTATCTTTCAAAGAGCATCTGACAGTATCTCAAGATAAATGATTTGCAAGAGTAAGAGTAATGAAATGTTCCCCCTGCCAACGTCACAAAGGCAATCCCTAGGGATGAGTAAATGGGAAATTATTCCTACAAAAGCAAGGAACTTGAAGACTTGCTTCTCTCCTATGGTATCAGCAACATTGGAGTCTTAATATGCCCTGGATAGACAAGATTAGGCCAATGATGAGAAAAGGTGAAATATGTAAGTTGACAGAAAAGGCTAGTCTACAGGGTGGTGAAGTTCATGTGTGCATTTAATGCTCTTATCAAGTCTCTATTGTCTAACTCAAGATATCAAAGAATAACAGTCATTGGAATTAAAGATCCCACAGTGAAGCTCAAATTCTCTTTTTTCCCTCTTTATTTTGGCAAGAGAACCCATTTCTTTCATTTGCAGTGATGATTATGTCTGGCCCGCGATTATACGGATTTATGGGAACTGCACCTTCAGAATTTTCCTAATAATTCCAGCATCCAACCCATCGTTAAGTTTTAGTCAAGTTAGTAAATATAACTTAAAAGCAAATTTGTGGAATTTTATATATGCAGAACTGAAGAATAGGAGGAAGACACAAGCAGCAAATTGTGCAGATCCAAACTGACGCAGCACAAGTCAATGTCAGAACGTAAAGTGCAATGCATGATTATCTGGATCCATATAAACTTACCCAAATTAGAAAGGCTTGTCGTTTCAGGTGCCATGCCTAAGAAAATGCAGCTGTAGTGGTCCAGGACTTGTGCACTTGTGTTTCACTAACAGGACTTTTGTTCCCCATAGATTTACAGTCAGGCAGGCACTTGCTTTAAGATCTCATCATACACATAGTGTAATGTGTTACCTAATGCTTTATAAAAAGAGATTTTAAGAAGACTGCGGTGTATATTCAAGTGTCATTCAATAGCTGTATTGCTCTAAGACATGAATTATAATAAACTTCAGATATTTACAGAATGGATGTTTGCATGTTATAGATAACTTATGCACTTTCACTTGAGAGAGCTGTGTCTTGGGAAGTCTAGAGCAGTCTTCTACTGAAGAGAAAAATACGCCTTTTGTTACTCTGAAAACAGAGTTATGCTTCAAGTGTCAGCTCTTTCTTTCCATCTGACTTTTCTGTTTTGAGTATTAGAATGTTTAAGATAGTTTGACTGACCCTATTGAACTCTGAATTTAATTTTGAATGTCTTTCAGCTGTTCACTGTATTTTTGAGTCTTCAGGTGGCTTGTTAAAATCGTCTCAGGCAGAAGACCTTCTGCTGAGAGCCCCCTGTAGTTGCATGTCTTCTGTGGTACTGGCCTTCCTCGCTAAGTTGCCATCTCCTCATCATTCATCACTTTACACTGTGCTAGGGCTAGTGATTGAGACTTTATAACCTAAATCAAGCTTGTGTCAGGAGATAATGCAATCCCTCTGTCTAGTCCAGGAATCTGTGAATATCATATAGTGGTAACTTTCTGGTGAGAGCAAGTGAACCATAAAGCACTATTACTACCATCTTGAAAAAGTTATCATATGTTGAGGGAGTAGGTGATGCAAATGGAATTGCTAATTGGCCAGTGATGACGTCTCTTGAAACCGCTTATCACCAACATAACTTCTCACAGCCTGTCCCAATCTTCAGAAGCCTGGAGGAGAATCCTTTGCCCATCCATGCTTACAGTGGTACAGAGCACTGCCAAATCTGCTCTTTCCATTAAACTTTTTTTGAAACACAAACTGATAGCTCATTCTAGCCTCGTCTTGCTGGGGTTGTCATGAAATAAGCAAGTGCTTGAGAAGAACTGAAGCCCTCACCGTCTTTGGCATGTCAGGGCAGCTTTGTCTCTATTGGCAAAATACAGAAACATGTCATGTTACTTCGGAGAGAACAGCTTTTGATTATTCCCCAAAGATGTTCTTCAAGACAAGCTTTGGTAAGTGGTTTCTTTTTATCACCAATTCAGGTACACTGCTGTAAGTTATTTCACAAGCAGAACCTATTTCTAGGGTAGGAGGAAATTTTGTAGAAT